ARGGSMRGRMCSKYWGGCAATACTGTTATTACGTACGTTGATAAYATCAATCCCCCTGGCAAGTCACGATGAATGAATGAATATTGCCCGAACTGATAGCRATAATTTTCCTTTATTCGAGTTGATCTTATCCTCAATCTTGTTTATGAATTTTGGCACTTGACTGTGCCATCCGATTATCACGAAGGTATGAGTGGGCTGCRTGTCCTATCCWTTAGACTCGCTTACAGCCGGGTGTATGTAGTAGCGGTGCCGAATACACGTAGTAAATCAGAAAATAGGAAACGTACTTTGGGTAACAAACAGCAACAAATAATAATAATAATAATAATATGTGGTATTTATATAGCGCTGATATCCTCTGAGTTCACAGGCGCTTCACATGTATAGATCATTTCACACGGACCGCTGTTTAAGGCGCAATTGGCAGCCACGCRGCTTACAATCATGAGGGGTTAGTAATTAGTATGGGTTAGTAGTAAGGCCTAGCCACACACACCGGGAATCATTCCCTACTCTTATGCGAACAGTGGTGTGGGTTCTTTAACGTCCCTCTATAATACAGGTTAATGAGAGCAACAAAGTATAAAAATATATCTCAACTGATATCATGGCCAATTTAATTAATTTTATTTGTTAGCCTTTTTGAAAACGCTTTTTCAGTTGATAAAACTATAGATTTTGCAAGAAATTGCAAGAAAAAACAACAACAAATCAATACTAGGAAAATATGAAGTATCAATGCCGGGTTCGAGCTCCAGACTACCCGGCGATACGAACGATGCAAATTAAGGGAAGATCTATGAGACAAAGTGGCCTCCAGGCTTTTCTCTATCTTACAGTGGAATTTAAGATGGCGGCCATTAATGAACCGTTAGTAGTGTCATTAGTGATATTTCAATACCCATTTCACGCGCTTTTCTTTGGATATTATCAAGCGTGAACTATCTTTTGCAGCTTTAAAGCATATCACTCATAAGCTATACATTTGAGAGCCGATTAAACTTGAGAGGGTACGTTTCAAGAATCGT